GTGTCTCTGTGTCCCTGATGCTCTTGGCCCTCCACCCACCTCCTCTTTTAATGGAAAACAAAAGGCAGGCCAGGCCACCGTGCGCCTCTCCTCCTTGCCAGTTGGGGACACACAGATCAGTCTCCATCTCTCTCACTCGCCCATTTCCTATTGTTGGTAGCCTGCACCCCCTGCCACCCCCTGGTGAGGATGGGGACAGGCCTGGGGACCCCAGTCTCAGTCTGCATAGGAGAGAGGCCCCAGCCACTGGGAAAGGGGGTTCCAGTGGCCCTGGGCCAACTTTGGGGAGTCTAAGGACCCGCCCTGTGGATGTGACTTCCCAGGCCCTGGTCCGGCTCAGGCTGGGAACCTCACGGGGGGAGGGGGACTCGGCCTAGGGGAGTCTCTCTGTTGGAAGGGACCTTGGGGACCACGTTGTGGCAACCCCACTCTGTTGCCTTGAGCAGGAATATCAGCCGGGGTTTGGGCACCCCAGAGCACACATACATTTCTAGTTTTCCCTTCCCCCAGCGACTGGTAGGGCACCTGGTCTTTCTTCTGGCTCCACAGTGTCCCACCCACCAGGGACGTGGTTTGTCAAGGTCAGGCAGCAGGAGGGAGCGGGTGGGAACCCCGAGTCCTGCTCCGAGGAGCCCGGAGTTTCCAGGGTTGGACCCGGTGGGTGCGCGGGCTCCCCAGGAGAGAGCGGGGATCGGGGCCCAGCGAGGCTGCAGCTATCCCCATGGTTTCACGCGAGGGTCACTGGGCGAAGGAAGAAGGCGCCCACCAGGCAGGTTAGTGTCGGGTGGCGGGTGACCCTGGTTTTGCCAAACCGGGTAGGTAGAGGGTCTCAGCTTCCGGCTCTTCCCGCCGCGCTCCGGGGAGGACTCTGGTTCCCGACCACTTTGCCCAGCAAACGACTTGGTGTCATTGGGTGCGTGGCTCCCGGGCAAGACAGCTGGGCAGGAATTGTTCTTTATTAATAGACGGCGACATTGGAATCCGGGGCCACTCACCAAGGCTCTAATTAGAGAGAGAGAGAGAGAGAGAGAGAGAGAGATCAGCGGGAATCCCTGTAGGGTGAAGGACAATTCTCGCTAAACGGAGGCCAGCCTGGTTTTCGCTCGTTTATTGAGTGGAATTGGCTGAGTGCGATTTTGCTTAGCATCTTCCTTCAGTCAGGAAGACGTGAGGAGCTCTAAGGGCGGTAGAACGTTGCTTCTCCTACTGCGCTGAGGGGACCCGGCGAAGACAAACCTACTCCTTTAAAAGAATGAAAGGTTCCTTCCATTGGGGTCCTCCGTTTGCAAACTGGTGCCGCCACCAGGCTGTGGAGGAGGGTGATGCGTTCTCGCTGGAGGAGGAGGAGGAGGAGGAAGAGGAGGAGATGGAGGAGGAGGAGGGGGAGGAAGGAGACGCTAAGGCCTCTCTCACCCCCAGGAGTTTGCCCATAACTGGACCAGATGCCTCTTCGTTCACCCCCCATACAAAAATGCTGTGAGTTTAAGACCAGTTTGTCACAAAACTAGTGAAAGGAAGGCTTCGGCGAATCCAAAGCGCTCCGAGGTATTAAGTCAGATGGAGCCGCCGCCGGCGCTCACTCTCCTTGGCCTTGGCCTCGCTCGGGCCTGTGTTGCCATCTCCGCTTCCGTGTGACTAGCGCGTCTCGGGGAGAGTCACACCGATACCAAACAAATAGCGTGTGGACGTTGGCATCCTTTCCCAAACGCGCAGTTGGAATCTGCTAATGGGGCGAAGACTCCCAGCGAAGATGCGAGACTTGGCAGGGATGGGTTCGTGCCAATGCCTTGCGCCCCGAGAATATTCCTGTTGCGGTTCTCCTTGTGCAAAGAGGCAGCTATTTTAGGAAGCGACTTGGGGAATGTATTTGGAATGCTGGGTTGAAATGACCCCCCCGCTTCCCCCCGGGGTGTGTGTGAAAAGATATATAGTCCAGGACAGGCCACTCTTATTTGGATACTTGAGCATTCATGGAAAGACGGAGCCTCCGTTCGCGGCTCCTCAGAATCTCCCTTCCCAATTTCCGAAGCTCCTGGGAGCTGCTCCGTCAGGTTGGCACTGACCCCTAGTGGTCTCCCAGGGATCGGTTCCGAGGAGAAGGTTCCTTCAGAACAGGAGAGCCCGTTCCGTAAGCGGCTGCACCGTGAAAGAATCAGATCTTCTCATTAACAAGGCGCCAGATGTGCGCCCAGAGGTGTGTGTGTGTTTAAGACAGTTTTAAAAGAGAGATCATCTCATCTCATAAATCGGGGGGCGGGGCGGGAAACCCCACGGCTTCCGAAGGGGACCCCAGGGACACACACGCCATCGCGGGCGAGTTTACGGAATGCATTTGCAGTTACAGGCAGGTGATGCGGGAGGAGGCACCGAGCCACGCTGCGGGCGGGCGGGCGAACTAGATCGCTCTATTAGGCTGAAATACGCAAGTGAGAACGCAGTTGCTGAGCATCCCAGGGAGCCGCATCCATGCAGGAAAGTGCTAACCATCTCCTTGCACCCGGAACTGGGTTCTGTGAAAACAAGGGCCATCCTGGCGTTCGGCGCCCTGAATTTTTCCGCCGGTTAAAACCTCACCCGTCAGGGAAGTGGAAGCGATTTTATCAAACCTCCCCATCATTTTTGTTCACAAGCTTCCTTTGAAAGGCGAATGAGCATGGAGATAGGTTAGGAATCGAACTCATTTCTAAGAAATAGGATTTTGGGGGAGAGGGAGAGAGCAAAGGGCCTTGTTAAACACCAGTTAAGTCTCCCATCTCAAGTGTAATGTTCCGTTCGACGTGTTGCTCAGGAGACGTGACGTGTTACGTGTGACAGGAACGCAGCCCCTCTATAATCCGGGGGTGACATACAGCCCAGTGAGCTGGAGATAAGTAGGGTTTTATGGTGGGCCATAAGATGCTGTTTCACCCATTTTGAACTCATTTCTAAGAAATAGGGCTTTGGGGGAGAGGGAGAGAGCAAAGGGCCTTATTAAACACCAGTGAAGTCTCCCATCTCAAGTGTAATGTTCCGTTCAACGTGTTCAGGAGACGTGATGTGTTACGTGTGACAGGAACGCAGTCTCGTTGGCAGAAGCCGGGGTGACTAAGGCGGGCCCCTCTATAATCCGGGGGTGAAATACAGCCCAGTGAACTGGAGATAAGTAGAGTTTTATGGTGGGCCATAAGATGCTGTTTCACCCATTTTTGAGGATATAAAAGTGCCGTTCTGCCGGGCATTTGAACTTGACATCGCCCCACTGGGCTGACATCGGACACAATTCCAAGTATCTTCTCGTTTGTCGTGTATCTCCCGGCATGTGCCACCCTTGCTCTCGGAGCTTAAAAAGTCCACGCTCAGCATTTGGGGTGAACGTGTCTGAGTTAGATTCCATTTCCAGTTGACTTGATTTGGCATGAATCGTCCCGGACAGTGGTGTCGATGGCGAAGATGCAAAGTCTGCATTGCACGCTATTGAGCCCCCAGCCGGCCGTGTGCTTGACGTAGGAGCCTCAGAGGTGAACTGGTCTTTCCGGCGTCGATGAACTCACCTGCCCCGTTACACCTGGGCTGGGTGCCCCTCCTCCTCTGTATCTGATGGAGGGATAAACAAAGGAGACGTGAGTCCATGCCTGGTCCGGTGACACGAGGGAGAATTTCTTGTTTAAATGCGTTTCGTGCTGTGGCTGATCTCTCGATGGGATACTGCTTATCTCCTGTGTTTCTGTACATAAGAGGATTTATTGAAAATGTCTTTTAGGAAGTAATTCTAACCAGAGCATCGCAGGCAGGTAATATTTTACCAAGCAGAATGGAAGCGCTAGGTGCCCCTCCTCCTTTTGTATCTGATGGAAATAGAAACAAAGGAGACGTGAGTTCATGCCTGGTCCCATGACACGAGGGAGAATTTCTTGCGTTTCGTGATGTGGCTGATCTCTTGATGGGATACTGCTTATCTCCTGTGTTTCCGTACATAAGAGGATTTATTGAAAATGTCTTTTAGGAAGTAATTCTAACCAGAGCATCGCAGGCAGGTAATATTTTACCAAGCAGAATGGAAGCGCTACTATTAAGAGATGCCTCTCTTTCTTCAACATTCAAGTTTCTCCACACACACATGCCCACCAGTGACATGATCAGGTTGATTTTATTTTATTTTTTTAATTTATTATTATGATTTTTAAAATCTTTATTGTGGAGAATCTTACAGATGTTCCCCTCCCTTTTCACTCCATGGGCCCCCTCCACTGGGTTCCCAACCCGACCCAGGCCTTCACCCCCCCCACTCTCTGTGTCCATAGGCAAGATCCTTGGTTCATCTCTGCCCGCCCCCTCCCCCCCTTCCCTCTGAGATTCCTTGCTCTGTTCCCTGCTTCCATGCCTCTGACTCCATTTTATTCACCAGCTTATTTTGTTCATTCGATTTCTTGGTTTATTTTGATTTTTTTTAGATTCAATGGTATTGCTTGTCATTTTATTGATTTCAGGTATTCTGTCATAATTCACTAAAGTTCAGGCTGATCAGATGGGAATATTCATCGGATAAGTATCTGAAATAAGCTTTACAGGGGGAAAAAAATTGCCACGGCCCTTTAAGCCGGGAAGTTGGCCGAATCCGTGAATATCTAGCAAGATGTTTTCATTTTGTGATCATGTTAGCCGTGTAGAGCCGGTGAGTTCTTGGAAATGACCTTTTCAATGCACAGCTTTCTACCCCGGGGACAGTGACCTGCAGGCTGGGCTGGTTCGCCCTCAGGAGGGCTTTGCGAGCAGCGAGGAGAGGCCGCCGCTCTGTGCCAGGCCTGCCAGGGCACAGCTCACGCCCTCTCACACCCGCCAGCGCCACGGGGCGAGAACTGGGTCTGGAGATGAGGACTCTCTATGCTGTGAGCTGTGAGCTGTGAGCTGTGGGGAGCTCAGGCCTGTGCCCAGTGCAGACAAGCCTGGGCTCATGCCTCCCGGGAATATGCATTAAAGCAATTCCAAGGGAAAACTGTGCTCTGCTAGGCACAGCCTCCACGTTAGCCAGCTACAGCCAAAAAGCCCTCAGAAGCCATATTCCTATGATCGCATAAGCCATCTACGCATTTCTATTGTGTAACTTTCCCCTTTCTCCGGGCACTTGCTTCTTCCTGATGGACAAGGTTGTAGGAAGTTCAGAAAAGGCTAAACATTGGGCCCCGGCCGGTTTAGTTCAGTGGTTAGAGCACCGGCCTGTGGACCGAAGGGTTCCGGGTTTGATCCCGGTCAAGGGCACGTACCTCCACTGCAGGCCCTGGTCAGGGCGCGTGCAGGAGGCAACCCATCGATGTGTTTCTCTCACATCGCTGTTTCTCTCTCTCTCTCCCTCTCTCTCTAAAAATCAATGGAAAAAAATATCCTCGGGGGAGGATTTAAAAAAAGAAAGAAAAAGAAAAGGATGAACATTGGAACTGACTTAGCCGGTGGCTCCCGAAACCCTCAGATTCGAGAGCGTTGAAATGAGCGGCCGGCATGGACCTCGTGACAAAGGCACTGGCTTTGGGGAGTGCGTCTCGGTTCACAAATACAGACGGAATGGAGACGCGGGGGCTCTATAGACTGGGTGCGGAGGGTCGTACATACATTAGGACGGGGTGGTTTTCTCTTCTCTCTCTCTTTTGGAGATTTCTCTCACTTCCACACTTGCAGCTCTTCCTGTTACGTTGTCCTGGCAACCGTGAAGCACAGAGGAGCCGCACGGAGTGTTTCTCTATGACATAAGCTGTGGTTGTGGCCACCTCGGCAGGCCGGTTGGGCTGACTTTGGCACCTGACCTGCTCTGGTTGCCTGGAGACCCGCCTGATGGACAGACCGCCTTTCCCGCGGCTGTGTATTTTTTCATTTTATTCTATTTTTATTTTTTAAAAATATATTTTATTGATTTTTTACAGAGAGGAAGGGAGAGGAATAGAGAGTCAGCCCTTGAGTCCGCAGGCTGACGCTCTATCCGCTGAGCCACACCAGGTAGGGCTCATTTTATTTTTAAAATATATATATTTTTTTTATTGATTTCAGAGAAGAAGAGAGAGGGATAGAAACACCCATGATGAGAGAGAACCATGGATGGGCTGCCTCCTGCACCCCCCCTCCCCCCACCTAGTGGGGCCTGAGCCCCAAACCTGGGCATGTGCCCTGATGGAGGGGGAGGGGGGAATCGAACCCGTGACCTCCTGCTGCATAGATTCTGTGCTCAGCCCCTGCGCCCCGCCTGTGGCGCACCCACCGCCCGTGGCCGAGCCCAGCCCCCTCCACCTCCTCCCCACGCGGGGGCCGTCCACTGAGCGCTGGTGGGTTCCCTGTGCCCCCGACAGGTTGCAACGAGAACGAGGCCGACCCCCTGGACCGCGACCAGCAGCCATACCCGCCCTCGCAGAAGACCAAGCGCATGCGCACCTCCTTCAAGCACCACCAGCTCCGGACCATGAAGTCCTACTTCGCCATCAACCACAACCCGGACGCCAAGGACCTCAAACAGCTCGCCCAGAAGACGGGCCTCACCAAGCGAGTGCTGCAGGTAAGACAGAAGGCGCCCCCCTCCGCCGTGCACACCCCCCCAAAACCCACCCCTCTGTGTCCCGGCCAGGGCGCCAGGTCTGCCCCCTGCTGGCTGGTGCAGGGATTGCCTCCACCGCGTCTCCTGAGCTGACCTCAGTGATGCTCCTAGAGGGGGCGCTGAGCTTTCTCGGGGGGGCTCCCCCGAAGGTGCCCCAAGAGAGAGCAGCATCTTTAAAAATGCAGCCAGGCCCCCCCTGCGCCCCCAGAGATGGAGAGCGGGGTCCTCCAAGCCAGCACAGCTGCCTCCCTGGTCTGCAGGCCGCAGGGATATTAATTGCACAAGCCGTGGCCTTATTTTTTATTTTTGTTATTTTATTTTTATCTAAGCTGTGGCTGTCGAGGGGGGCTTTTTCACGCTGGGCTCCCTCACAGATTTGTGGGGGACCCTGCCTGGCTGGCTTCTCAGCAAACTCTGGGCAGCCCGCTCACGGGCTGTGTTACGACCTCCCAAGTTCAGGTCCACCCCCCACCCCTTTTTTTTTTCAACTCCCCCAAAGCCACCGTAGGGCGCGCGTCTCAGCAGCCCATTGGAGCGGGTGTTTTCTCGTGGGAAGGAACCACGTTTCTAGAAAACCAAGTATCGGGGTTTGGATCCTGACCTCAGCTGAGTCAGGCTCCCCGCCTGATGAAAGAAATGGCAGGAGGTTGAGATGGCTCCCTAGGCCCCCCCCCCCTTCCATGTCTCAGGGGTAAAGGGCAGGCATTTAAAATGGGAAGGAACCACGTTTCTAGAAAACCAAGTATTGGGGTTTGGATCCTGACCTCAGCCGGGTCAGGCTCCCCGCCTGATGAAAGAAATGGCAGGGGGTTGAGATGGCTCCCTAGGCCCCCCCCCTCCCTTCCATGTCTCAGGGGTAAAGGGCAGGCATTTAAAATCCCCCCCCCCACACCCGTGTGGGGCTGTTTGGGGCCTGGTGGCCCGGGAGGGTTTCCTTCCTGTGCTGAGAATACCTCCCGTGCGTCCATCTCAGGAGCAGCCGGGCTCTGGGGGAATGATGCTCACTTCCTAGGAGTGAGTCAGACTCTCCTCCTGCTCAAAAGACAACGGCTGAGGAGGCTGGTGCGCTTTCGGCCCTTTGTCTCCGGGCCTCCGTTACCAGGGTGTCTCCACCTAAGCTCCTAGGTCCCAGGTGGCCCTTGTTAAGCCTGGGGGCGGGGATACAGGCAGTTGATAGAATATCTATAGTACTCATGGAAGGAATCTATTATTTTCAAAAAAAAGCACCAAATTTTTTTAAAAAGCAAATAAAAAGGACCACCTCTCCCAAGAAAAAGAAACCATTATTTTATTTTTTATATTTAAAAAAAATATGTTCGTTAAAAAATATTTTTATTGATTTCAGAGAGAGGAAGGGGGAGGAAGAGACAGAGAGAGAAACATCCATGATGAGAGGGAATCATGGATCGACTGCCTCCTGCATGCCCCGCACTGGGGATCGAGCCCGCAACCCGGGCAGGTGCCCTGAGCGGGAATCGAACTGTGACCTCCTGGTTCATGGGTCGACGCTCAACCACTGAGCCAGGCCGGCCGGGCTAAAATATGTTTTTATTTATTTATTAGAGAGAGAGGAAGGGAGAAGGATAGAGAAATAGAAACATTGATGAGAGAGAAATATCATCAATTGGCTGCCTCCTGCTCGGCCCCTACTGGGCGATTGAGCCTGCAACTGGGGTACATGCCCTTGATCAGAATCAAACCTGGGACCCCTTCAGTCCGCAGGCTGACGCTCTACCCACTGAGCCAGACCGGCTAGGGCAGAAACAATTATTTTAAAAAAGAGAAACATAAATATTTTAAAAAAAAGGAGCCCGGCCGGTGTGGCTCAGGGGTTGAGCACTGACCCATGAACCAGGAGGTCAGGGTTCGATTCCCGGTCAGGGCACATGCCCGGGTTGAGGGCTTGATCCCTAGTGTGGGGCGTGCAGGAGGCAGCCGATCCATGATTCTCTCTCATCATGGATGTTTCTGTCTCTCTCTCCCTTCCTCTCTGAAATCAATAAAAACACATTAAAATAAAAAATGTTTAAAAAGGGACAACACCATTTACTTTACAGAATTGTAAGGATAAAAAAAAAGAATGAATGAAAGGAAGGAAGGAAGGGAGGAAGGAAGGGAGGAAGAAAGAAAGAAAGAGAAAGAAAAGGGGGGAAAAAGGAAAGAGAAAGAGACAGGAAAAAAAGAGTCTAAAATTAAACCGCAGTAAAGACATCCCTTGGGATTGGTTTGCAGGTTTGGTTCCAAAACGCACGAGCCAAATTCCGAAGGAACCTCTTGCGGCAGGAGAATGGGGGTGTGGATAAAGCCGAGGGCCCGTCGCTCCC